CTCATTCCTATTCCCTGAATAGAAATGTCCTGAAATGTTGGAAAAACCAATTTAATTAAAAACATGTGAAAGAAAAGTCTGCAAATGAACCTCACATAATAATGTTGTGAAAAAAAGTTCACTGAATAACACACTTATAGAAAAAATTTTTAAAAACATCAGAAAAACATATTTCTGAAAGACAAAAACTCAATGTGACTTTTCAAAATTGAAAACAACTAGGTGGAAGGATAGAAACTATGACAAATCAACATCAATCAGAATAAGTGCTCAACTTTCTCCTTGCTTCCTTAAGGCTTCAGTCTAAAACCATTTGGGCTGAGCAAGGTAGGCTCCAGTGAAGGAGACACGTGGATAGAGGCCCAGCATAGGGTGTTGGCAGCATTGATTATATGGCATTATATGGCAACATCTGAGTAAGAATAGACAGCATCCATTCACTTTGGATTAGATTGCCAGAACATGATTATTCTGAACAGGGCTTTATGCAGAGTGAGAGAGTAGTGGAAACGGATCAACCTCAAAATGTTGCTGGAGTCTGAGTATACTGAAAAGGGTATCACATGAATCTTGATAGAATTCAAGCAGTGTGAAGAGGACCACTAATATGGAAGATAGTAGCAGTGGCTTGGTGAGGAATATTGTAACTCAAGTGACATGAGTGGTGACCCAGAAAAGGATGTGGAAACTGAGTTGAGAAAGGTATCTGTACAAGGGGACAGTGACAGTGGCCTAGAGTAGGGCTATGAAGCCCCAAAAGGGTAGGATAGTGACAGTGGAAATTTGATTATAATCAATATAGGGCTGGGGATGTGGCTCAAGCGGTAGCGCGCTCTCCTGGCCTGCGTGCGGCCCGGGTTCGATCCTCAGCACCACATACAAACAAAGATGTTGTGTCCGCTGAGAACTAAGAAATAAATATTAAAAATTCTCTCTCTCTCCCCCCTCACTCTCTCTTAAAAAAAAAAGAAATTTGATTAAAAAAAAACCAAACTCTCTCTCCCCCCTCACTCTCTCTTAAAAAAAAAAGAAATTTGATTATATACAAAGGGGGTTGATCAAATAAGCAATGTATAGAGAATGATAGAAATTCAATTACTCACTAGAATATAAATTATAAATTATAAATATGGATTGAGGGGGAAATAAAACCAGAACGAATCCTAGATGTAAATGTGTGTGTTTATGTACACATTTGTATGTTCTCTAGAGGTGACTGTGGATAGACCTAGTACAGAGACACTTCAATAACAATAATCTTGCCTATCACTCATATTTTGCTTTCTGGATGTCCTTTCCCACTAAACAGAACTAGAGACCTTCATAGGGAAAGTATAAAATGAGACTGGAATATTTGCCTTGGGAAAAATAAGAATGTGTTCAAAGAATGTTGGGGAATGCTGGAAGGACACAAAATTAAATTTGAAAAGACTCTCACAGGCCAAATTTGAACATCAAAATAGCCAAGGCCTGGTGGTGTATGCCTGTAATGCCAGCTACTCAGGTGGCTGAGGCAGGAGGATCACAAGTTTGAGGCCAGCCTGGGCATCTTATTGAGTGAGACTGTGTATCAAACAAAAGAAAAAAGAATGTAGCTCAGTGGTAGAACACTTTGGGTTCAAGCCCCGGTGCACAACAAACAAAAGTAGTAAAAAAATAATTATTTGAACAAAACAGTAATTATGAATTAATGTGTATAATCAAAAAATAAGAGAAGAAAATTCTCTTTAAAAAATTTATTTTTTAGCTTTAGGTTGACACAATATCTTTAAATTTTATGTGGTGCTGAGGATTGAACCCCAGTGCCTCAGGCATGCTAGGTGAGCACTCTACCGCTGAGCCACAAACCCAGCCTGAGCCTTTTTCTTATAGAAGAATGCCAACTAATAAGTACAAAAGAAATATTGGGATTGAAAAAATTACTATCTATTAATAATCATGATAGTAATTAATTCAGTTGAAAATCACTAATGCATATTAAAACTAGTTGATGAAAGTTGAAAGATAATGAAATGTTTGTGTCTTGAATGTCCCTACAGGTCCATATGTCAAAGACCTGGTAGCTAGCTTGTGGTGCTATTGCAAGGTGGGGGAACTTTTAAGAGGTGGGGTCTAGTGGAAGAAAGGCACAACCTTAATGGGAACATTGGGATCTGCACTCCTTCTTCTGTCTTTGCTTCCTGGCCACATGAGGTGCATAGGCCTCCTCTGTCATGATGTACTATACTACCAAATATACAAAGCAATAGGGCCAAGTGATCTTGAACTGAAACCTCTAAAACCATGAGTTGAAATAAACCTTTCCTCCTTTTAATTTGATTATTTTTGGTATTTTGTCACAGCATTGAAAAATTGTTATGTGGTCTCAAATAATCTCCCTTCAAAATAGTTGTTAATTACAAAGAAAAAATGAGTAATTTTATAGAAGAGGAATAATTTTGTTGCCAATTAACATCACTAGTGATGAAACAAAATCATATGCCCCTTGATAGGAATATTATGACCTTCCTGCCAAAGATGTATATCCCAAATCAAGCAGAAATATCAGGCAGGCTGAATCCGAGGGACATTCACAAAATACTAGCATAAGTTATTTAAATTATTGAGATCATTTTTGAAACTCAATAAAAGATTATGAAACTATTCCAAGTTGGGGGTGGGGGAGCTAAAAGGACATGGCAACTATCAGCAATATTGTGAATACTGGGTTGAGGTATTTTGCTATGAAAATATGACTGAGAGATTGATGAATTTAGTGTCTGAGGTTTACATGATAGCAGTGTATCAGTGTTCATTTTGTAATGGAGATTACTGCATTGTGGTTATTTGGGAAAATGTCACTGATTTTAGGAAACACACTGAAGAATCTGGGGCTTATGAGGCATAGTGGCATTGACTTATTCCCAAATGGTCCAGAAAAAAATAAATTCTGTTTGATCAAATTAAGATCAGGTTAAATTATATGACTTAGTCTAGAGTTTGGTTGCATTAGAAAGTAAGTATGCAGCAAAACTTAGAATTCACATAGCTAGAAAAAATGACAAGAAATGTTCAATAAAGACTTGTATAAATCATTTCAGACATGAACACTGTACTTTTAGCCTCTGCTTTCAATGTGAAAAGATGTTAGGAAAGTATGTATCCTACTGCAATAACTATAAAAATGTGTAAAGTAATAAAAAGTCAAATATTTAAAAAAAACATTTTAAATAACATATTTAAAATAATATGTAAATTCAAAGCAAAAAGAAACTCGAATCCAGAAAAGAACAAGCACTTATTAAAGTAGGACAGAGACAAACAGTAACTTTCTTCCTTGAAGATACCTGAAACCTTTTCACTGCTGATGAAAGAATAGGCTTGCCATAGACAGATTTGGGTCACTAGGAGACACCAGCATATTTTAAAATTTGATTTTATTATTTTTTTTGCCAGCATATTTTTTAAACAGTCTTTTGGGAAGAATGGTAAAGATCATCACTATGCTAGCCACAAGAAAGGGGAGTCTATAAACTTCTGCACACTGCATCTTGGGCTGCTGTTTAGATTCAGCAATGCACTGATTACCCATTTGAGTCCAATGAGATAGAACATACACACACACAAACATGTTATGTGAAGTGGGTTTATTATTTCCACATAGGCCACAAGGGAAAGACCTCTCAGATACATTGTGAGCTCATCCCCTAAGGCTCAAGAAATCTGTTCTAGAGAGACAGACTTCACTGAAGTGTGCCCCATTTGGCACCACAGCCGAGGGACCCTAAAAGGCAGCTCACCCTGGATTAGGCACACAGGGATCCTGGGACACTGGGAAAAACTTTGAAGGACATCCTGCTTTTACAGGGAACATTTGTGTAGCAGTGGGAGGTAGGAAGGTGATAGTGGAAGTGGATAGCAAAGGAGGAAAAGAATAGTTTAGAAAAAGAGGGAAAGAAATTAGAGTTGAGATATGGCATGGACATACATCTTGTTAAGTCTCCCAGAAGCAAGAAAATTTAGAGGTAATATTATTGGGTTATGAGAACCTTAATGAGTGCATTAACAGAATTGAATGGATTAAGTAGATGGTAACCATAGGTAGATAGGATATGGCTGGAGGATGGGGGTCACTGGAAGTGTGCCTTTGGAGTATATATTTTGTCCATTGGGAGGAGAGCACTCCTCCTAACCCCGTTTCTGGGTTATCAAGTCCTGAGCTTCTTTCCTCCTCCACACTCTTCCACGATGATGTTCTGTCTCACCCTTGGGACCAAGGGTCTATAGATGGAGTTGGTCATCTATAGACTGAGACCTCTGAAAGTCCAAAATAAACTTTTACTTCTTTACATTGTTCTTTTCAGTTCTTTTGGTCTCAATGGGGAAAGGTGACTAAATAACCTTTTTTTTTTTTTCAGTGCTGGGGATTGAACTCAGGGTTGCACTTGTTCATAGGCAAGTACTTTACCACTGAGCCACCTCTTTAGCCTATGAACCAGTATCCTTGGAATGCCAAATGACTGTGCTTGAGCTGGGAAAGCACTGGGAAGTCCATTGTTTCCTATCTCCTGCTAACATGTGTAAGAATGTTTACTCTGTTAATGTCAGGAAAATAAGGATGACTTATTTTCTGAAGATGGCATCATGAACTGGTGGAAATAACTTTGTGTCCATGGAGCAAAACCTTCAGTGTCCACCATACTATTCGTTCTTATGTTTGCTTAATCATGGTAAAGATAAATGTGATATTTAATTACAGATACATGTGTATTTTTAATTGGAGCTTTTATGGCCCATCTCACCTATCTAAGCTAACAAAGAGATTCTAGTATGGTCCTGTTTTAAATCTTACTATACAGGGCAGACTTTTTGGAGAAAGGAAATGCCATTCTCTGTCATGGGGGAATCCATTGTTCACAATCATCATTGACTGACCATGGGAGCCACGCTGAAGGCACCACGAAGGATGATTTGGGGTTAAGGAGGGAGCATGGGTACCATCAGGACAAACAGGCCAGGAAAGCCAGGGAAGACAAGAGTGTGAAGAGTGAGGTACATCTGTGACATTTCAAATGTGATCTCAAGGGAGCAAAATCCTAGAGTCTATAGTTACAAGAATTGTAGTCGCAGCATTCATGAACATAAGTCCGATTGTGGAAGTCATATGTCAAGTTTTTGCAGAACTTCTGACACACTGTATATAACACCTGGAGAGTGTTATCTGCAATAGGAAAGAGTCATAGAAAAAGTCAGTGATCTAAGATCTAAAGGCTGGTCAAACTTGGCACCACTCAGGCAGCAGGGGATACATAGGGATGGTCTCCCAGCTTATATTTCCAAAGAACACCAAGTAGAAATTGCTGGCCAGTAGTGGTTGGGTTGTTTGCCAGTGTTCCTGGAAACTCTGCACACCAGCTTGATTCCTTTTCTTGCTTTGCAAATAGTGCTCTTGTGTCTTCTTGTGTAAAAATCTGGTGACCCATTTTTATTGGGAATATAAAATCTCCACCTATTCTGTCCCATTTCCCAAAGTCCTCTTCTGACTGCATACACATAGACCTGTGCTCCTCATGCTCAGGAGCAGTCTGTGATTTGGTTCTTCCCCTGAGTTTGCCACAAGTCTAAAATATAAAATTGCTGAGATACTCTCCTACTACTTATAAGGTTCTCCCAGCATTTCCCTGATCCTCTTACTTACTTACCCTGGAAGATCTTTAGGCTCATGCATGACTCATTTTTCTTAGTATGACAAACACCAAATCCTCTTCTACAACGATCTGAATGTGTGCGAAGATGGCAGATTATGCATCTTGTAGATATTGCTTCTGGAGAGCACAGAGCTTGTTGTGAGATCAGGCAGAAGAAGAGAGTTTGCATGGAGCTGGAAATATTACAACTGCAGGGAGTGGGGTGGTTAGGGGGTGGGTGGTTGGATGAAGAGCCGGTGGTGGAGTATTTAGGCAGTACACCGTTGGACCTTTTACCAAATCCTCAATCCATAGGAATAAAAATAAAATGCCATTATGCAAATAAAAGGACTCAGTTCTTTTAATCTGGGTGACTTTAAGCAAAAGGTTAGCCTTCATATGATTGATTTCTCCAGATTAATTTGATAAAAGTATGCAATGTACATGTATAAATATACCACAGTTAATTCCATTTTTATATCTATAATGCACTAATTATATAAAAATAAATATAAGGAAGATGAGTAGAGAAAGGGAAACAGGAGGAGGAAGGAGGGGAGGGAAAGAGGTGGCACTAGGGACTCAATTGGAGCATTATCCCATGTATGTTTGATTATGTCAGAACAAACTTCATGAAAATGGCAGATTAGAGAAGTTCACTTTCCTGGTTGCTCTGTGGCTGAATCAAGAATTCAGACACAACTTCTCAGCAAGATGAGAAAGGGGGACTTTTCTGGGAATTAACTCCAGACATTCAAAAATAGATCAGGGACTCAGATGGTCAGCTTATAGAAAAAATGGCCAGTGCTACTGGTAGTGGCACTTGCAGGTGCTATCTTCTATGTACTAAAAATAGTGGAGGGATACATCAATTAAAGGAACCCCTATTTTTAGGAGGTCTTTGGTGTGTCTGAATATAGAGAAATCAGAGATCAAACACACTGCCCTATTCACCTGAAAGGTGTCCTGCACAACTTTGTGTGGGAAAAGAAGCTGAACTGCTCCAGACTACCAGGGAAATCAGAGGAGGGAAGCATTTTTACAGTTCACTATGGGATCTGAATCCTGACAACTGTGCCTAACCAGAAAAACAGGTTTGGCAAACCCACACCACATGGCATAATGTGTGTCTAGTGACCAGAAGAAAATAAAATGTGGAGACGGGTTTATACAGGGGAGAACTGGTTGGGGAAACACACCAGAACCATCCTCCTCCACCCCCTCCAGAACAACAGTTTGATAGCTCAGCTAGGAGAGTTGCTAGAGAGTCCTGCCAGGCTGGGAGAGATGCACCCTGGTGAGAATTCAAAAGGCTAGGGGAGCCTAAACCCAAAAGTCCACAAGTATCTGAGGGGAACAATAAGAAACTGGGCCCTCCACTACACCAGTGAAACTCAGGGTTTTTTCTTGGAGGAGTCTCCTAGCATGGTCCTGCAACTGCCCTGCTGGGAGGTGCACTGATTGAAAATCTTCAGATCAATCCACCATTAAAGGAAGAACCTGTAGCCTAAATGAACCTAAACTCTGTCCCCAGGAGTCCTGCCTAGGGATCTCCCATCACACTTCAGCATCCCCACCTAAAACATCTGAGAAGGGAAGCTGAGAATTTTTGAACTCCAACTGAAACAATCCTTTAACTTTAACCCAATCAATGAATTGGCAAAAGACCTGAACAGACACTTCACAGAAGAAGAAATATAAATGGTCAACAAATATAAGAAAAAAATCAACATCTCTAGCAATTAGAGAAATGCAAATTAAAACTACACTGAGATTCCATCTCACTCCACGTCAGAATGGCAATTATCAAGAATACAAGTGACAATATTGGTGAGGATATGGGGGGAAAGGCTCACTCATACATTGCTGGCGGGACAGCAAATTTGTGTAACCACTCTAGGAAAGCAGAATGAGATTCCTTAGAAAACTTGGATGGAACCACCATTTGACCCAGTTATCCCACTCCTTGTATACCCAAAGGACTTAAAATCAGCATACTACAGTGATACAGTCATATCAATGTGTATAGCAGCTCAAAGTCACAATAGTTAAACTATGAAACCAACCTGGGTGTGCCCTTCAATAGATGAATGGGTAAAGAAAATGTGGTCTATATACACAATGGAATACTATTCAGCCATAAAGAAGAATGAAATTATGGCACTTACCAGTAAATGGATGGAACTGGTCACAATCATGCTAAGTGAAATAAGCCAATCCCAAAGAACCAAAGATCAAATGTTCTGATATGTGGATGCTAACCCATAACAAGGGAGGGTGGGTAGGGGAAGAATAGAAGTTCATTGAATTAGAGAAATGGGAATGAAGAGAAAAGAGGGGGAATGAGAATAGAAAAGTCAGTAGAATGAATCAGACATAACACTCCAATGCTCGTATATGAATACACGACCAGTGTAACTCCATATCATGTACAACCACAGCAAGTGGGCATAAATTTATGAGTGGAAAGAATGTCCTAAGGGAAATCTTTCTGAATCGTGAGGACTGGTAGGGTCAAAGGAAATAAGTAGGATGGAGGTGCAGTGATGTAGAGGCTTGTGCACCTGCAGGAGAGTGGTAGAACTTTGAGAAGAACAGAAAGTTGGCAAGGAAAGCAGAGAGGCATTCGGAAGGCTGGTTTCTACTTCATGAATATGGTCAAAACTCATCCCCACATGGACACAATTACACATGTAGAATTTCCCTGGAGCTCCCTGGATCCTGTCGCTGGATCCCCACTCCTCAGATCTGGGACTCACCCACAATGAGGCAGGTGAGGCAGAAGAGTGACAAGAAGCGTTTGTTCATTCTGATCCAGAGGTTTCTTGTGCAGGGGAAAAGAAATAAGAAACTGGGGCTTGTAAGCACAGATCTGTAGGCTCTAGGGAGGAGACTTTCTCCTTTATCATAGGCTAGTGATTATTCATGCTTAATGGGAGCCAATAACACAAGGTTTCTTCCTGGAGCTCAAGTGCATTGCTTGGCCTCCCCACAGCAGAAAATAACAGTAATAAAAAATAAGGTTCATTGTAGTAATCACAATTGTACCATAGTTCCCACAGGCAAATGGATCTAGGAACCTCTGGGGATACCAAAATCCACGGGTGTTCAATATATAAAATGGTGTATTCACATATGACTTATGCGTATACTCTGGTAAATTTTAAATCATCTCTAGATTATTTGTAGTTCCTAATATAATGTAAATGATAACTAAATGGTATATTGTACTGATGAGAGAATAATGACAAGGAAAATGTCAGTACATGTTCAGTACAGACGTGACTAATTTTTTCCTAGTATTTTTGATCTGTGGTTGATGCAGAAGTTGTGGCTTTGAGGGCCACTCTGTTGTTGTTATTAATTATTATTATCCTTATTTCACAGAGGAAGAAACTGAGACTTGGTGAGGCTTGGTGAAACAGAATTTTACTCATGGCAACACACCTAGTGACAGAGAGTATGAGTACTCACAGAAAGATTTTCTAATTCTGGAGTCCACACTTTTTGCCACTGTGATTCAATGCCTTTTTTGAGATTTATATTCAACAAATATTCGTGGAGAACTTTTAGATGATAGACACAGTTCAATGTGCTGAGGGAAGAGCAATGAATATGTAGACAACCTTGTAGACACCTCACTTTATAAGGGAGAAACAGGAACATGAAAGAGACAAAAAGATGCAGAGCCAGTGACAAGCTGAGCCTCCCATCTAGAGATTCTTAACCCAGAACGCATTCACTCTATCAGAAATCTGTCCTGCAAAGCCAGAGAATGTTTGTTTTGTGGGGTTGTGAAATCCTCCCTAGAATTACCCACAACTTTATCTTTAGTATATTCATATTTTGAGTCTGGCCAGTTGTGTTCATGATTCAGGTGTCTAGCTCTATGAATGCTAACTTAGTTAAGGTTCACCCTGGGTAAAGCACTGGAAACTGAAAAATACTGGCATTCTAAGTATCCTAAACCTATTGCTCAGCTCATGGGAACTTGGCTGGAAATACCAGAAACATTTTTTTTTTTTTTTTACTGAACTGATTTAATGACATATTCTTTAGGTGTAAGAAAAACATATTCATTAAAAGATGGTGAGTCTGATGTTTTGACACAGCAGATGAAGATTGGATAGAATAAGGACTTGAGTGGCATGTGTCATAAAGTTTGCAACGTTTCCTTTCTGTGACTCCTCAGTGTGGAGCTCATCTTTGCTTAAGAAGAGAATCAGAGCCTTCAAGACCTAGACATGAAAGAATTAGTTCCAATTGATTCTGTATGGAGAGTAAAGTTGTAAAATCTTTGAATCTCATTTCACATTCTTCCAGATTCTAGGAAAGGATAATAGAATCTATGGCATTTTTCAGAACATTCCTGTTTTTTGTTTTATACATATATATTTTCAAGTTGTTGATGGACCTTTATTGTATTCATTTATTTATATGTGGTACTGAAAATTGAACCCAGTGCCTCAGACATGCTAGGCAAGTGCTCCACCACTGAGCCACAATCCCAGCACACATTCCTGGTTTTATCAAGAAGGCAAACCCCTGAGCCTTTGGATCTTTAGTTCCCTCAGCCATTTTTTGTCCCTTGATTTCTCTGCTTTTTCCTCCATTTAAAGATACAGACACCAGAATCAGAACAAGGGAAGCAGCCATGGTAATCAAAATGCAGTGGGTTTACACAATGTCTACGCTTCTTCCTTCCTGGTTGTCCTTGGTAGATGCCCCTTGAATTTTGAATCTCCAGTATATAAGACTATTTCCAGTTAAAATTGTGGAATTTTGTCACTCTACCCAGATATCGAGATACTGTGAGGTAAATGCCATTCTTCTATAATACCTTCTTAGGTCAAATTTTCTCTTGAAAAGTAAGGTGGTCCCCCCCGCTGCCGGGGAGGTCTGGAGTCCTGTGGTTGGTCACTATATAACTCATCATTGTCTTTAGCAAGCCATTTATCTGTGATGTTAGATTTTGACCATTTTCACAACTATATCATTCTATGGTTCATGACATCAGTTATGAGAATGGATGCCAAGCTCTGTTATTCTGAAGTGCTTTATTGACAGAGTACCACTATCCACGATGCCACTGAGTTCTGGGGCACAACATCCAAATTAATGTATCCCCATGCCACAAATGCCCTCCTTTCAACATAGAAGCTGTTTGCTCTGCTCTGAGGAAGATAAAAAGAAACACTGTGTCCTTGTGCTCATGGTCTTTCTTGTCTCTGGGGTGGGTGACTGAGATATTGGTGACATCATGCATGAGCAGTCTTTGTTGGTACTTTGCTATGTAAATGCTCTCTTGTGTTTTGAAGGAATGGCACAGAGTCAGGGATGGGGCTGTTTTCTTCCTGGGTTCCCAGAGGGCATCATTGGATTTATGGAGTGTAAATGGAGACTAGAGTGAGAGACAATGGCCTTTTAAAAAACTCTGACACTTGGAGGGTGGGTGCCTGCTGTAGGGTCCAGGGAAAATTGGTAGAGTATATACTCAGCATTCCCTCCCAACTCCAATTGCTTATGGGGAGAGAGGTAAAGGAAAAAGTGTGACACCAACATTTGTTGACTGCTTACTATGTGCCACACAAGCAGCTAACTGATTTCACATAGACTGTCTCATGGACCCCTCACAACAACATGGTGGTGGAATAACTGGGAAGGAGCAAAGATGGGATCCAAGCCTAGGTTAGGGTAACTCAAATTCAGATTTCTCCACATTGCTGTCAATGTGATACTTCAAATGAAAAATTACAATGGATAATCAAAAACTGCAAAAAGCCCTTTTCGGAACTTTTTTTTTTTCATGCTGATTTGTTAGTATCTTCCCTTCATTCTTGAGCAAGTTTTACTAATAAGGGATTTGGTGTCTTGGTTTTGAGATGCTATGATTTAGATGTGGTTTGTCTCCTATGTGATAATGTTTGGAGGTGGTGAGACCTTTGAAATGTGGGATTTAGTGGGAGGTCATAAATCACTAGAGGCATGTCCTCAGGAAAAACTAAAGTATTTCTCAAGAGATCCTTAGTTAGTTTTCCAGAGAACAAGTTTTTATAAAATGGCCTCTCCCTGTTTTGGCTTCCTATCTTGCCATGTGATGTTTTTCACATGCTTTTCTACTATGCTACCATTTGCCACCATGTGATGTAGTCAAAGAGGTTCTCACCAGAGCCAGCACCATGCTGTTTGAACTCTAAACCTCTGAACTAAAGAAATCTCTTTCTGAAGTGTTCAGCCTCAAAAATTTCATTAGAGTAACTGAAAATAAACTAATACACAGGTTCATAAATCTTAACAAAAACTATGTTCTATGTTCTATTAATTTCTAACTGATAAAAACAATGCCTTAGAGTATCAAATGTTGGCAACAAACCACAAGAATATTAGCAGTCCCTGAGACTTGGTTACCAATAGAAATGAGTGAAAGATTAGGAATTAAATAGTTTCATTTTTATTTTTGAACTTGCAGGGATGCAAAGGCCACTGTGGCTTTATTTGTGTGGAAACTTTCTGATGAACCAATGTGTAAAGATAGACAAAATGAAAGAGCATCTCACTGTGTCTGTATTTCAGGATGTGGATTTTTTTTCCTGATAAGAATGTTCAATTTCAGAAAGTTGGCACATTCCTAACTGTAGCTTGGTTATTTTTATAAAACCTCTTCCCAGCAGGCTAAATGAAAAGAAGCTCCATATTATTGGGCAAACTTTAGTAAGCCATGTTAGAATTGGTTTGAGGATGCAAACAGAAGAAATCTATAATGTGTTTCCTTGTCAAATGGCATAGTTCATAATTCTTTTAAAAATTTGAAGCAGTCATTAAGGAACTGGCACTTTTGCCATTCTCCTTTATGTTTTACAATTTGGTAAAACTGAAGGTATTTTTAGACAAAGCCAGTTTGCCTTTATCCTTTTGATTTTGCTTGCTTTAAGCATACTGAAAACATCAAAGAATTCTTGTGTTAGTTTTTAAAAATTTGTTTTAATTAGTTATACATGACATATTTTTATCATATACAATGTTGGCTGGGAACAAAAGCTTCTTTCTTTCTTCTTTTCACAGCTGGAGCCTCTACAATGCTGGGTAGCCAGCTAGTTTTGCCACTTTGGTAATAAAAAGAAATCTCCTCACACTGTGACCATTCATTACTTTGATGATAGGCACACATTGACTCTTCAAAGAACTCTAAAATAAATTTTGACATCAGGCCAAAAACAAACAAAACTCTCAGTTCTATCAGAAGTAGTTTTCTAAATCATTACATTTAAAAATTTTAATGGAGAACAAGAAGTCTTGTCTATCACATAGAAAGTTTCCTGGCTTTCAGGAGCCTGAATGATCCTATTTTATTTTTTCCCCACATTTTTTATTGGTGCATTATAGTTGCACATAATGGGGGACTTGTTGTTTTGTATTTATACATGCACACAATAAGAATACATATTCTTTTCAAGTTCATGTGGGACATTCTCCAAGAGAGGTCACATAGTGAGTGAATTAAAAAACAAATCCAAATACATTTTAGAAGACTGAAGTCAGATAACATTTGTTTTCTCACTACAACAAAATTAAGGATCCACAAGAAAATTTGCACAAACCTCAAACATTTGGAAATGAAACAACATACTTCTAAACAATCCATGAGTCAAAAAAAGAAATCACAAGGGGAATTAAAATATATTTGGAACTGAATGGGAATGAAAACACAGTATATCAAAATCCATAGGATTGCATTAAATAAGGATACAAAAGTATGTATTTTCTGCTTTGAAAAGCTATATCAGAAAAGAAAAAAGGTCTACAATCAA